TTTAAATCAGATAATGCATATTAAAAGTCTTACTCTGAATAGGTTATCAACATTTCCTGTTTATTTATATAGAGTTACTGTATAACATCCACAATATGAACAGTGAATGAAAATTCAAATGTGGAAGTCAGCTAGGAATTCTTCGTGTCTCTCAGTAACCTCGCAGCACCTAATGTTTGACCTGTGTTAAAAAGTGATTTCTGTTAGTTAAACTCAATATACTTTTATGATAATGGTACTTGTCTTCTAATTTAGACATTTCCAGGAGTGCTCAGAAAGGGGAATTTATATCCGGTGATAGTCAATAAAGCTAATTACCCAATTCTGGAAAAATTGCACTGATAAAGCTGCTTCCTTTCTGTTATCTCCATGACTCGTTCATGGAACATAGCAGAGAGAGAGCTTCCATCTCCATAACTCACACTTCCCACTGTTTTATTATGTCACTCACTGCTCAGAAGAGAGCAGCCCTTGGTGAGGTATTCCAGGCCTTCCCCGCCAGCTCCCCATCAGGAGACCCTACCTGCCTGCAGCCGCCTGCTGCTCCTACTGTCCAGATCTGGGCCAGGCATTCTGTGTTCTCGATTGCAAAAGACACCTTATTCTTTTAATTAGATCCCTCTAGAAAACATCTAAGGATCCAGATTTTCAACTGCTGTCAAACACTGACAGGTCTGTCTGATAGATTGTGGAGAATCATTTTATAAGCTGTTCAAAATAAATTCAACTAAACAGTGGCCATTTCTGTGAAGTGGCTTTGGAATTTTTGACATTGTGTGACATAAAAGACATTTGTTAAACTTTTGGGGAGAGGGTTAATTTTGATACTTCATATTATACCTTTTATAGGATGGATTTTCTGCTCTTTGGAGGGCAGTCTGTGAAATCTTCAAATGGTGCTGCTATCAGGCTGGCTGTCACCATTGTCATGATCATCTTCATCATCCCAATGGTGACTATTTATTGAGCATCAGCCAGTCTTCCAGGAAGTTTTGCATACAAAATAGAAAGCTTAATGTCAAGCACTGCGCTTCCTGGCAAACACTTCAGGGTAAATACTTGCAAAAATGTACTATAGGTAAAAACTAAAAATTTAAACTTCCATTAGAAAAATGAATATACACCTATTGAATCTTGGAGGATGTCTGCCAAGCCTAACAATTTTGGTTTAAGTCTGTTATCTGAAGTCTTCTTTTTGACAACAATCAGATTACAATGCAAATTATGAATGAGAGTTACTTGTATTCCATCATGATAAATCAGAGAATAGAAAACAATCTATACATTTTTGAGAAAAGAAAATAACACATACCTATTCTTTCATTAAGTAAGTTTCAATTATTAAGCTCTAATTTAAAAAGAATCAGAGCCCAAAGAAGCTCTGTCTCTCACTGCCCAGAATTGTGATTAATCTGTCATACAGCTGTTTCCACCAACCCTAACCGTCACCTTGTTAAAGAGCAAGTTCAGTAAAGGCATCCGTAATCTGGGTCAAGACAGCTTCCCCATGACATACAAAGTCAAAGGCTGGGAAAAGGGCAATTCATAGCAATAGGTTACTACATTGTTTTCCGAACAGATTTCATCTCAAGATGATAAGGAAGTGGTCAAGCATATCAGAGTCACACTTAAAGTCTTCTTGTTCCTTAAACTAAGTATCAGCTTAAGACCCAACAGCTTGCCCTTTGTTCATGAAGCAACTGGTATAAGGGACTGGAGAGAGAAGGGGGCTTCCAATGAATTGCATGATTTATGTATGTTTTGGAGGGTATCAAGGAAGTGTTCTTTAAAGGGAGAAAAATTACATAAGGCCTACATCATTAGGTCCAACAAGCTAGTGAAGAGAAGGTCTCAATGGAAATGTCAACATTCTAGTGACAGAAAATCTTTACCAGGCATGTGTTAAAATTCGAACTTCTCCATCTGGTGAGTTTCATCTACAAACAAAACAAGGTACGCACCCTACAGTCTCCTAAACTTTCCTTGGATTATGAAGTTGAGAAGAATGAGTCTCCTAGACATCAGATGAGACCTGGGCTTCTGAGGTTTTATTCACAGAGTCCCCTAACCTCCCTTTATTCTCAGTTTTCAGTACGTCCAGGTCCTCCAGTAAGTGTTTACGTCATGGGTGTGTTTTGGAAGGGATGATAGTTTTATAGTAAAATTTAAACTTAATATTATTCTGAGTGGACTTTATTGAATTCTTTTCTAAATTCTGTTTCTTAAGTCACATCATCAAGCTGGCTCTGTTTTATCTGGCTTAACTGACAATGTTTTACAAACCAGTAACTGGAGAAGTGATAATAAAACATCACCAATGGATCGTGAATGTTCTTCATTTGACTTCACTACTTAACCCTTAATACAAACCCCTGTCCAACTGTTAAGTTCCCATGAATGCTGGGACAGCTCTATCAAGATGACACTGAGGGGAAGATTATCACCTTTGGCCAATTCAACATACAGATCCTTAGATGAATTAGCACTACAGGAAGCCAGATTTCTCCTGTCAACCAGAAGTGTTGCCATTCAGCAGAACCAAATGATGATCACCATTTATTCCTCAGGGACTCCACAAAGAGGCCCCGGAATCTGCTCACCAAGGACATCTTCAGCACCTTGAGCTATGGGGACTATTGATTTGACATCAAAGATTGTTTTTACTGATGGCAAAGTTACATCATGATATTGAAACAAAGCACGCTTGGCTTCTTAGGGAACTGAGCCAGCAACAGAAGGAAAACACTCCTGTGGCCCGAGCTGAGTGGCTTAATTTACATTTCCTTTATGCTTACATTCCTTTGAACTTATATTTTCTTTAATCTTTAATAGGATGGTTGGCCAGTATACCCTAACTCTAAACAAAAATAAAACCAATTCCTTTATAGCCCAGAATGAAAAAAGGTACCTTTCTCATAATATTTAAGGAAACATTTTTGGAGCTTAAGTGTTACAATCAGATGTAATTGTAATAGGGAAGAACAAATCTGACTCCATATTAGATCTATTCCTAAATTTAGCTCTAACCCAGTCTATTTCCTGTACTTAGTTGTGCTGGCTCTGCACCTTTTGTAAAAGAATGTTGCCAATAGACTGAAATAATATAGGACCGCCCATTCTCAAGGTTCTGACCTTTAAGGGTATAACACTGTTCCATTCACATAGAGATAAAAAGTTGCAGAACAGAAAATAACATTTGTCTTGTTGGAAGCTTACAGGGACATCATGCATGACCTGACCTAGGTGGGCAGCTGTAGGAACAAAGGATTCCCACACCCAGAAGTTTGCAACAACTAACCATACTCCTCCCCCCCCACCCCTTTTAGTATAAAAGGAGCCTGAATTCTGACTTGGGTAAGATGGCTTTCTAGGATAGCAAACCTGCGTCTTCTTGGTCTGCCGGCTTTCTGAATAAAGTTGTTATTCCTTGCCCTAGCACCTCATCTTCTGATTTAGTGGCCTGTCTTGCAGTGAGCAGAGTTAGTTTGGACAAATTTTGGTGAAGCTGCTCATGACCAGCTGGCCCCAGTCAAGGAATTTTCAGGTAAGGCCCTAGCAGCTGCTGGAATCACTTGTCCAGAGGATCTTCCATTCAAAATTCCCCGAAGTGGCACCGCTTCCCAGCACCTGGCAGCTGGAGCAGGAATCACTATCTGGGAGCTGACGGGCTCCATGCAGTAGGGTAAGTCACTCTGGTGCGTAAAACCAGAAACTTTATTCCTTTCTGTTTGAGGCTTTTTTTCCTCCAGAACAAGCCAATTTGTTTTGTATTTGAGTGGGGTGCCCTGTTGGAGAGAGGAAATGGTTGCTGGACTTTTACTGGATTTGTGAACCAGTTTATTTGTTTCTTTGGATGCTGGCATTTGTGTGCGCCGTTTGTGTTCTGTTTGTCTTGTATTTCTGTCTTTAAAAAAATGGGGAATGTTTCAACTATCCCTAAGGAAGTTCCCTGAGGCACATTTTCGGTAAGTGGCCTGATTACAGCTATGAACCCTTGCCTAAACGGAAGCTGAACGTGTGGCCATCCGACCTGTTCGGATCTCCACAAGGGGTGTATGCAGGGTTATGTCCATATACTGCCACCCTTGTTCTGTAAATTTGTGGTTGTTTGTGGTCTCCTGTATCCTTGGTATATGTAAAACCCTAAGAGCAAACTTGTGCATTTATTTAGGGTTTTCTGTTTGTCCTTTGGGTTTTTTAAATTTCATTTTGTTGTGGTGTTTTGGTACTGTTTCTCCATTTACAGCCAAGTCAGTTTTGTGATATTTAAAATTTTACTGATGTCAAATCGAGGAAAGAAACAGAAAAAA